AAAAAAGGAGAAGTAGTGGCTCAACGACTCCCGCATACTCTCCTACGTTTGAAGCGGTCTCTCAAAATGGCATTCTCAAACAGGGGGTCCACTACCAAAGAGACCCTTGCTGCAGTCACCAATACCATAGAAGAACCACATGATTCTCCAGATGCCCTCCTGTGTAGATCCATCATGGTGACATATGGGCCTGGATCATTTTTCCAAAATAGCCGAAACTCATATATGTGACCGTAGAATAGGGACGCGTGTTAAGATGAATTTCTAAAAATCTCCATATGAGCTACAGTCAATATTTCTCCTATGATTAATGGACATGGGTTCCTATTCAGGAACATATCATGGGAGTATATGCAACCACTCATACCAAAGGGATCCCTATCAACCCTACTGGCCCCTTGGTAACCCCACTGCCACTTGCCAGCTAGAGCACGGAAACCGTTTTCATACGTATTTCCACGATATGAAGTGCTCTTAGCTTCTGGTTTGCCAAATTGTGCTCGTTTGCTCTGGAAAAGGGTTTAGGGTTTAGGGTTTAATCCTGGGGTGTCTGGGGGAGAACAGTAGGTCAGCTGGACGACCTCCTGGACGAGCTTCACAGTATGTTGCCCCCGCCGCCGCCGCTGCCACCACAGCCGCCAAATTGTGATGGACTCTGACTCATCTGTAGAATGCAGTTCGGAGCCTAAATGTGGTGTGGTTTGCACATTTACCACGCATGCAAGGAGATCATGCGCTTGATCCTACGGCAGCTTCAGCTGCTGATCCCGTGCCTCGTCAAGCATGAACATGACATTGATCTATAGTCCCCTTAAGTAGATAGAATATGTCTTTGGGTATATTAAAATAAGATCCCCATATACCCCATATTCTATCTACTTCAGGGGGACTATACTTGTACAACAACTCATGGCCATCCTTGCCCTGGCCCGCAGGTTGAGGACTCTTTTAAGCTTGCCGCGCGGGTGGACCTCTTTCTGAAGCGACGTGGGCAGAAGACGAGTGATCCAGCAGCTTGAGGGAAGACATGGAGAATCTTGGGGCCAGCAACCGGAAGCCCAGAAGCTTGAAGCCGGAGAACGATGCGGATCCAAAGAGCTGCCGCCAGCACAAGCTCTGCAGGATCTTCGGACTCCTCCATCTTACTGAAGGTCATGGCCTTGGGCCTCGGGGGCATTCATGTAGCTGGAACCACAAGGGAGCTGGTAGGTTGGGCTCTTCGCAAGGGCCGTGCTGGAGTTGCTACGTGATCCGCCATCAGGAGCTGCTGTAGATTCAACCTGGAAAAAAGTTCTCACATACATGTGCGCCTGTTTGATTTGTGCCTGATGCTCGTCGATTGCATGCAACAATTTCAATGTCATCTGGTTTTCCAACCGTGGCTCAAACAAGCTGCAGATAGAGGTTCCTCGCAAGAAGAGCTCGGCTAGCGGCCAATCACACAGCCTGCTACTTGTACAACTTCATCGCACGGCACAGGATATAGCTCCGGGCAACTGCACAGCGTGCCGGCCGGCACCAGTCTGTCACAGGTAGATTCTAAATCAGATGCAATTTTGTTGTAGCCAGGCATGTATGCTTCAAGATCCCGACATTTGCAAATGACAAGTCTACTGCGACAATGCCGATTCAGCCTAGTTTTGCAGTGCAGCCTCCCTCCCTCCAGCACCTGAGATAGCGCACCCCATAGCAGTCACCAAGATGCCGAACGGACCGCACATGGCAACTTGATGCCGCCATGTTCAGCGACAACGGAGAAGTGGAGCATTTCATAGCATCTTGCCGGTATAGCTGCAGAGCCCACCCGCTTGGAAGCAGCCTCACTTGCCATCCAAGGAGGAGAACAACGTCGATGAGCAAGCTGTTTCTTGGACACTGAACTTCATGGATCTCACGAGCTAAAGCTGCAGGTCTGGAGAGCTTCTTTGTCACGTTTATGAAGTCAAAGCAGCAGTCATCCTAGAAAATTACGTGAGCTCTTGTTAGGAAATGGTGTGAGCACCTCTTCGGTGCGCTGCCGCCCCGCCCCGCCCTGCCCCCCGCATATGTAGTTCATGCCTAGGGTTCATAAGTGGAGGTACATGCATGTCTACATGCGCTTGTGTAGGCATTCCCCACCCTTGATCCAGGCAACTCTACTCCGTGAAGCACCCGCCAGCATCCAGCGAGCAGTGCTTGAGGCTTGTTCGGCCACCGGATACATGAGCTGTATGTAGTCTAAACTACTCAAACAGCATCATATAGGGGATTATATAGGGTTTAGGGTCTACAATTTAGGGTTTGGGGTTTAGGGTCTAAACTCCTGAAAGTGGGGTTAGGGGGTTATATGGGGGAGTCAGGGAAGTGTTAAAAGTTTATGAAGGGATGTGCGAGGAGTTTAGACAATTGCTAACATCACTTGGGTTAGGCCCCCACCCACTAATAGTGGTATATTAGGAATATATAGGGACCCTAATATAATTACCATTATCTATTGTGGTCACTATTAGTGGGGGGGGGGCCCAACCTAAAACATCACTTACGATTTGTTTTCTACTCTTGCTTTGGTTACTGAGACCGTTTCCAGTCTCACAACTAGTGAACACCAACAACTGCCGCTTAAGCTGATGAAGCTGCTGCCGCTGCTACGTTAAGCCTTCACGGCTTGCTGTTAATTCAGGAACGTAAAGTAAGTTACTATAGCAATGAAACCCTGGTTTTTGCATCCCACCCATAATATGGTAACTAATTTGTTTCTTTAACAGCAGCCCAGAATGGGGCGCTTGAGCTTTCTGGCCTCTTGGAAAACAGACACAAAGCCGTGATAAGATAGGAGTAGGGATAATATAAAGGTATGTAGGGATTGCTTAGGGGAATATAGGGATTGTATAGGGTATCTGAGGGCACTCCTTAGGCACAGCTGTGTCTCCTTCATCTTGTGGAAATACGTTTACCTCTTTCTTTGACAGCCCTAAACCGTAAACCCTAAACCCTAAATGCTGTGCCTGCTTTGAGCGATGCGCATGTCTGAATGCCGTGCCTGCTGAGTCCGATGCGCGTGCCTAAAGCCTACATGCATCCCATCCTTCGCGCTATGGCACGAGTACCCAACCACGGCTGCGGTTGATACTGGTATTCTACTGGTGATGTGAACCATTCATTGCATACATTGGTATTTGCTTCGAATGGTGGATGATGTTCATTGTTGTAGCCCCCAATATAATTCGCATATACCCGTATATTCTGATATTACCCCTATACTATCCCTACCTACCGAGATTACGAAGAGCTCACAAGGCCGCATGAGAGGGGCAAGTACCTGCAGCGCTAAGCCAGGCTACATAAAACAAGGATGTCAGTCGGGTATTGCCGCCAGTCTTTAACAGTTGGATGATACTGGCAATATAGTCATATATATCCCTAAACCCTAGACCATTCCTTAACATAACCCGAAACCCTAATATGATCCTTATTATAGACTGTCACAGGATGAGGGCAGAAATGAGAAACATACAAAGTAGAACCAGGAATGCCCATGATGAGAGAGCAAAATCCATGAAAAAGCAAGCATGAACGTAGAGCACCTGACCCAACAAAGTGTCAGTGATGCGGTGGATACTAGAAATCCTGCATGACCCTAAGTACCCTATACCTTGGGAATTATGGTGCTATAGTATACTAAGGTCATGCAAGATTTTTAGTATCAACAGTGCTGCTGGCTAAAGTGCGGCCCAACGCCAGGGAGGGAGTCTGCGAACTTGCCGAGATCCATCCGCAGGATGTGTGGGCAGGATCCGCAAGGTGGAGCCCGGGAATACAGGGAAGGATTCTTGTGCTGGTTCAGAAAGAGGGGTCTTCTTATGAATGCCCCCCGAAATGATAGGATGCTTTGGCTTCTTATTGGTTGGTTGGGACACCCAAGACAGGGCCCAAAAAAGAAATCTGCAAACCATTCTACCCCTCCAGGCTGAAAAGATGCATCGGGCTGCTCCAGACGAGGCCAGGGTCCAGCAGAAGGTATTATCCAGACCCCTGGGTTTAGGGTTTAGGGTTTATAATAGGGATCCTGATATGAAGGCCCTTGAAAGGAGGGGGTTTATTAATCATGCGTCTACATTAGTAAGGCATCCTTGACTTACTGAGGGTCAGTTGGGAATTAGGAGGAACACAATCCTTCTACAGTCGCTATAGAGCATATTCCATCATACTCCCGTACTCCCTACTAAGCCCCAGTAAGTTAAGGAGGCAGAGAGGAGGACCAGGAACTAAGGATTCCCCAAGACCTCCTCTGGGTTTAGGGTTAGGTTTTAGGTCCCCTGAAACTTTCCTTAAGTACACAGTACGGAATCATGTACCGTACCAGGTCCATGCCGGTTTTGGTCATGCGCTTTGCCGCACTTACACGGTAGTTCCTAAGACAGGGGGCCCAAGATAGACGCCAACATATTATAATTCATATTCTGGGAATCCTTAGATGGACCCCTAGTTTTGGGAAACCCCAACATATGCTCGAAAGATATAGTCCCCCTTAAGTAGATAGAATATGGGGTATATGGGGATCTTCTTGAGCCATGTTCTATTTACTTAAGGGAGAGTATAGCTGCAGTCTAAGCTGGCCCAGCAATGTTGGACTGCAGTCCAGGCTTCGGTGGAGGACTTCATCAGTCGCATGGTTGCATGACGGCTGCTGCAGTAGGCATTTGCTGCCCAGTGCTGTGCGTGGGTCAGCTTCAAAGGCATCCAGGAGTGCAACCTCTAGTACTTTGCAGCTACGAGAACGGAGCAGTTTTGGGCCACAGGTAGTCCTGTTTGGAATGGCCTATTTGCCACTCAGGCGACAACTACCTCAATGGCAAGGCGGCTGCCGCATTGCGCTCTGCACCGCCGCCTGTGCAGCGGCAGGTGCTGCAGCAGGCATTGTCGCTTAGCGTATTCAAGGTCCATCCTATCTTTCTGCTCAGGTTTTTGGATGGCATCTTAAACGCATGGGCTATTTGTATGGACAACCCTGTTTTGGTCAGGGAAGCCTTCGCAGCTGCCGTGATCCCAACGGGGGCTGCCTCTCACGCATCAGTCGTGCGCAGGCCGGATGAGGGTGGGGTTTTGCTACTAATTACTACCTTGGTGAGCGCATGTACAGTACAGCTCCATGGAACTTAGAACTGCTGGTGAGTGTTTATGTGGTGTGTGTGTGTGTGTGTGTGCGTGTGTGTGTGTGTGTGTGTGTGGAGGATCCCATCCTCAACAAACTGGATCGTGAGTCAGATCGCTCTTTCTTTCCAGACTCTGAGATCCAACTAGAACATGCTAAGCATCTGCTCCTAATTGAATGTCGCTGCACCAGGATCTAGAAGAAACATTATGCGTTTTTGGGATTTAGGGTTTAGAAGAAACCCCTGTGGATGGCACAATTCTGACAATGACTGTTGCCTCTGATGTGTGAGATTGCCTTCAGGCCTCTAACGGACGCTCTGCACCGCAGTCGCAGTTTCGCCCACCAACGAGGGATGATGCTTGCATTCCAAGTACTCGCTTTCTTGCAGCCAACAGGTTTTTCAGATTCACAGAAGTGTTATGCTGAGGAGGTTGAGTTCTTCGTGGAGGAGAATGAGCTGAACGAGAGAGCAGCGGAAGCCCTGCGAGGCTTCTAATTCAGATGGCTTCGATGTGCCAGTGAGTTGACTCATTGCTGTTGCAGTTAAGCGCTCCTTGTGCTTTGAAATCCGAAGCTGAGACCAGTTCTAGACAAGCACGGCTGTTGTCTTTCCAGGGGCATGCCGCATGCCTGCACACGGAAGGAGATGTCTAGTTACCAGCTGCAAGTTCAGGTGCTGCCCCTGCCGTGCAACGTGAAGTGATGGAGCAGGCAAAGCTCCAAGCTGTGACCCAGGCATCTTCAATGAGGTTTCAAGGCCCATACTTGTGCCTACCCCTGAGAATCATTTTTACTGAGCTGCCATTTAAGGCTGAGCTGGCTAAGCAAGGGTGAGCTCTCTCTCTCTCTCTCTCTCTCTCTCTCTCTCTCGCTCGCTTTGTCTCTCTCTGGCATGTGCGTGCGCGGAAGAGACGCGCACATGCGAGAAGCCTGGCGCAGAAACGTCGATGCGCTTACATCCCCCCTGGTATGAATAGCTTTCATGGTGGTATATCATCGCATATTTGTAGCCACCATTTTAGGGCAGTTCCAGTGTAAGGGCAGCCTGCGAACCTGTCGAGAGCCAAGCGCCGGATGCAGCTCGCCTGCAGTAATCCGTGTGCGCCTGTAGAGCTTGGGCATCAGGGCTTAGGCTTGGGGTCTATGATTTAAGTACCATAATGAAGAGTCAAGTGGCAAATAATTAGGGTTAGAAAGGGTGTTAAGGAGTTCTATGACGTGTATTTCCACGAGCAGCCTTTCTAGAACATGTTCACGTTTGAAAGCTGATACGCATGCTGCTCATGCAGGCTAATTTCTTCAACCAGCCACTTATCTCGTGTTACTGATGCTGTGAAGTCTAGCACTATTGAGCTCGCCAATGTCTAAACGGCTTCGTTGAATGTATCCTCACTGCCAGAATTGATGGCCATCAGAATTCTCATCCACTCGTTGCCGCATCTGCTTTTGTGCATCAAAAGGCATCGGCCGCATCGGCAAAGCACAGAAGCAGCAGCATCTGGATCCGGCACCTCAGGTCACTTGGGTGCAGATTTGAAGTTTCAATGTATATAGTCCCCTTAACTAGATAGAATATGGCTTTGGGTATATGATAATAAAATCCCCATATGCCCCATGTTCTATCTACTTCAGGGGGGCTATATCACTTTGTGGGGCCGAGTTCTGTGCCTGTGTCAAATTAATGTCCTAGAATGTGACTTGGATGCGATGGAGCGTCTGCATGCATGTTGTATTCAAGACGTAGACTCCGCTATCGCTCAAATAGCGCCAAGCCTTCCCCCAGAACGCGGGAATATCCAAAGCGTTTAGGTCGAGGCTTCCAAGAATGAGGTGGGGGGTTTCTTTCTTGGGAGTCCCTGTATTAGGGATTCTAGTATCTTGGGGCCCCAATATATGGAAAACCCACATATAACATCTAGATACATCTAATGTCGCATTTCATTTCCATGTCATTCTCCATTATTGGGGTTAATATATCCGCATGCATTCCTGTATGCTCCCTACACATCCTAAACCCTGAGCCTTCCCTTGTCCCTAAGCCCTTAACAGTAGCTCCTACTATTATACCCAGTATGTTCCAGTATACCGCAAGTCGGATATTCAGTAATAGGGGACTGGGGGTTTTAATGTTAGCTCTAAACCAAATCTTAAAGAGAACAGAAGCTTCTGTTTTATTTCCATTCTGTAAGATACCTTTATGCAATCGCTGAAGGGGAGCTTGATATCAGGGGGGATGATTGCGACTCAAGGCAAAGCGACGCAGAGAGTGGCCATCACCAGATGATGTCGAGAACTTCATCGCAGTGACTTGTCCCTCCGGCGGGTCAGAGGAAGTTGGCAAGTAGACTTACATAGCCCCTAGAAGTCACAGAATAGCCCCTTACATCCCCATTATCAACCTGCTACATAAGTCCCCATGACCCCCAATCCAAGACGTGACACCAAGACGGCTCGTCAGTCATCAACAGCCCCACGATGTATGTTGGATGTTGTTTGTGTAACAACCGGCAGCCGGGATCAAGCACTTTCTCATATAATCCCTATATAACCCATGATAGTAGTTTCCATTTTCTTTTCCATTATCCCTATATAACCCCCAATATATACCCTAAGGTCCCTGTATCTGTACTTTCTTTATTCCTGGCATCGCCAGCAAGGACAATCATCTGGATGGACGTGCCTCAAATGCTCTTCGAGGAGCCGCGCACTGGGTGCAGCAGCAGGTCATGGATCAGGCCAGGGTTTAGGGTCTAGGGTTTGTTTAGCTCATGGTATCCGGACAAAAGTGACTGAAGGTATGCGCTGAATTTCAGGCATTGACTGGGTCTGTAACTTGGGGCCATCATGTCGTGGCGGCACTCACTCAGTGTAGTCAATTCACAGAGCTTGATGATACGGACATGCAGTATATAAGGTTTGTATTATGGTCTTTGGTGAGGGTATATAGGGTTCCTCAGGAATATTGATGAGTGTATGTATTTGGTGTCGAATTTGGGGGACCTTAAATAAGAACCAGGAGTCTAACAATGACATGCGGCCTGTTTAGGGCTTCGAAGTGCGGGCCGGGCGTGCGCGATGACGGTTTAGGGCTTCCAAATTCTCGAACGGATTTTGGGGCAGAGCGCCTCCTGTCTTGCCTCAAGTTTGATTGTTCTGCCCTTTCTCCGTGTATCCTACTGTTGTTGGAGGAAATCTTGCACCACCTTAAGTCCCTAAAGTCCTAAGAATTACAGTAATTTAGGGCCCCCAGGTGGTGCAAGATTTCATCCATCAACAGCATTAAGGCTTCAAGCAGAGGCCTCAGTTGTCATGAGCGACCTTGGAGCTCTTCATTTCTCAGTTTCCTGTACATTCCATGGGGTTCTATACTACCCCTCTCCCCTAAACCCTATACTAGACCCCCCCCCACCTTACCCCCCTCCCCAAATTGTGGGGCAGTATAGGATCCCCCAAAGTATGCTCATGCCACGGAGATTCCGCAATTGTGGTAAGGGGGTTTAGGGGTCTAGGGTTTTGGGTTTAGAGCTTAGGCCTTATTATAGTCATCGTCATATGAAAGTTATAGTTGTAGGATCCTTATTACCGGGGTGGCGGAAGCCCAAATCCCTAAACCCTACTAAATCTAAATCCCCTGATGACATGAATTTCCAGGGCAGTCTGCGCACCTGCAGAGATCCAAACGCCGGCTGCATTGGGCGTATCATGGCGTTGTTTCATAAAAAGCTAATAGCAAAAATGATAGTAGTAATAGTAATAATAGTAGTAATAGTCTAGTAATTGTAACAATAGTACCGCGTCAAAACAGAGGACCTCTATAGGGGAGGACAAAGATATTGGAAGGCCTCCTTTTAGATGGGTTCGTTGGCGGAATTGACATCCCAATACTTATTGGTCGCTTTGGGACTGATCTTCCGAAGTCTTCCATCCATTTGCCTGTATCAAACGGTTTTGGATCTTCAGGTTTCTGACATGTTTGGAAGTGTAAAACTGAAAAGGGGGCAGACATGGAAAACAACTGGAATTGAGGATTGCCCTGTTAAGAGAATGAGATCTCGGGACTCGTGGGAGACGCAGAAGCTGACCCAGCCCCGGGTTTAGGGCTTAGGGCGTAGGGTTTAGGGTCTAGGGTTTAGCCTACATGGAGGTAGCAAGGGTACCCCAGGCATAGTGAGGCGAAAGTCTGTGCAATTTGTAGCGAACGATGTCAAATGATGAGTGTGCAGAACTGGAGGTCTCCACCGAGCGCAGCTGGTCACCCATACGGAGGTTCCTTGCAATGCAACTCACATCACACCTTAGCAGAACATAGTAGTTTCCATTTCCTTTTCCATTATCCCTATCTAACCCCAATAATATAACCCACTTCAGCTCCTGCAAGATCATCTGGCATATTTGCTTTCGGGGAGGTATGGGTTGAGGTGACATGTGGTGGGCTTGCTTGAGTGGGTCAGCCAACCTCTGGCCGGGTGGGTAAATTCGCATGGGCATGTGCAAGCTGTCCGCAGGTCAAGTTGGTGAAGAATGTTGCCGTCCTTCCTGACGAAGTGGAGAGGTTCATACAAGACAACCGCTTGAGCGCAACTTGCCCGCATCGTCTTTCATGCTCCTGGTGCACTCAAGAGCCTGTTTTCTTCATGCTTGGCGCAGGGGAGGGCGGCATCAATGCTGAGAGCTGCCGATCCAACAGTGCAGCGGAAGGCCAAGCTTTCCCAGTCGAGTCCTGCTGCTATAATCGGGGTTTCCATTTTCTTTACCATTATCCTCATATAATCCCAATATATACCCCATTATAATATAGTAGTTTCCATTTTCTTCTCCATAATCCCCTATCTTGCCTTGCGGCAGGTCCTTGATAGGGGCAGCCTCTATGGAACCCGAGATCCTAATGCTTCCTGCATTGGACGCATTGGCAAATTCCAGAGGCCTGGTGTCGGACATGCGGCTTCCAAACTACGGTGGCTACTAAAATTCCTGCTGACCCAAGGTATCTTATACCTTGGGAATTATGGTACTGTAGTATACAAAGGTCATGCAGGATTTTTTTGTATCAGCAGTAGGACTCTGAATAGTGCTATGGTGTTTATTACACGGTGGATTTCTAGTAGCACTGTCTTTCTTAGATTCTTGGATTTTTTGTCACTGCTATCATGTTTAAAGGATAATTGATGTGCTTATTACCATTTTTTACTATTAGCATTATTAGTCGTAGGATTCGATTTTCTGTAGGTTACTGACATTGGGCTGTACATTGCTTCATGCTTCCAGCCTCTACCATCCTCCAGTGACTTACGCAATAGTGGTACATGGTGTGGTGAGGTAACGGCCCTTTTGGGAGATTTATTTGGGATTCCCGTAGCTTTACAGTCCAATAGAGCAAACACAGGGTTTAGGGTTGAGGTTTAGGGCTTAGGTTCAGGGAACAGAAATTTGGATCAACAAGCTGTGCCTGCTGCAAGCTCATGCGTCAAGCGTTTGACATTTCCGTTGCGGTGCCTAGAGCCATCTCGAAGGTTGCCGGGGCCCGACCGGCACGAAGCTCAAAAACCCCGCTTCCAGTGGCTTGAGCGCAAAAGGTTTGAAAACTGCACGAATGAGCGTCACGTCTTCATACGCTTACTGCTGGCACCCTGCACGAAAGTCAGAGCATCTTGGGCAGTCTCTGGTCGCTGCACACACCGAGGAAGGTCAACCTCGCACCTCGTCACGAGGATCATGTGCCAACCTCTACTGAGCTCCAGGCTTTCATCTTAGATGCCTGGCTGATGGAGCGCGATTTTGGACAGCGAAGCCTCCCGTAGATTTTCTGATCTTGATATGAGGGTACGGTTGGAAAGAAGCAAGCGCCCCAATCAAATGCTAAACTTTCAAGCAAAGGAAGGCATTGGGATAAGAACATGGAAGGCTTGGTGAGCATGTTTTCTGGGCACATATCAGCATTGGTAGGCGTGGTCTGGCTCAGCTTTTTGAGAGGGGGGTCGCCCACATGCAGTTCCAGACATATTGCAGTCTATGTCGGTGTTTGAGTTAACGGAACGGAACGGGGACGTGCGGTCGGTTGTCACAGCGAGATAGGAAGGTGATAAGACAAGGTTGAGCAAACAGGTGGATTGGGGTGCATTAGTTTGCAAGGAGAATGAGTTGAACGAGAAGGCAATCGCCACTCTGATGCTTGCGAAGCCTTCCGCTCCTTGGCAAGTGTTGTGACGTTGTGTTTCCCGCGCTCTCTCTTTCTCTCTCTCTCTCTCCCTCTCTCTCTCTCCCTTCCTGCGTCTCCTTCCCTGCACAACATGTACCTGTACATGTCGCATCATATCGAGGTATACGTACATCTGTCCATCTGTACAGGCATGTATAACCGGACATGGTGCGGAAGCAGCATTGCATTGGCCTTCCATACTCCTAGGCTCTACAAGAACAAGTGCAGCAAGTTCACACCTTCACCAGCTTCCTCAGTTCACATTCCAGCATGTTCGCGTAGCATCTTCAAGTTTGTGGTGCCCTCTTAGCTCCTGGCTTGTATTTCCACCCACTTCCAGATGTCGTCCCAGCATTGAGTGAAGCTTGTGATGTGAGCAGAGTCTTCTGCACCCGCTGGAGGCAGATACTGAGATGTTGTTCTCTGCTGTTCAGGCAGCCCAGGCTCTACCCCATACCAAATAAATTGACCAAGCTTAACTACACAAGCTGTGGGGATTGGGCGAGCATGCGCCCAGGTGCAGCACGCTATCCTTCGTGAGGGACGCCTGGACGGTGAGCCCAGCCGCACGTTGATCGAGCGACTTCGCCCGGAGCCAGACGATCAGGCGGGGCAAAGGGGGGCAGGGTGCTATCTAGGCAAGAGAGAAAGAAGGCTTCCCAGACCACAGGGCAGGAAAGGTGTGCCAGACATGTGGGAGTATGGGGAAGTATCTTTCTTGAACCTTCCAAAAACACGCAAGACATTAGACGTGGCCAAGATGTGGGTTTGATGCAGGCTTGGGACGAGCCCGCGCCGTGGGAAGAGCCACAGGCCTGGGAAGAGGCTGAGCCAGAGCCACAGGTAGCCACTGTGCACATGGTCGAGCAGTTCATCTCCGACAATGCTGCTCGACGAAGCATTGCGGGATCAATCTCAAAAGGACGGGCGAAGCTTTCAAGCTTGATGCAAACGAGCCTTACGGGCCCAAATAATAGGGAAGAGTTGTTTTTGCCACAGACTCCCGGAAGAGGTCTCAAGACAACTCTTCCTCCCAGGCTCTGAACAACCGGGCGGCCAGTGCTCTTCGCGGTGCGGCCCCTGAAGTACAGCGACAGGCCCAATCAGAATCAGGAAGCGCGCATGCGGCTATTGTGTGCACAGGAACGTCTTTGCACCTGACTGTATGCTTATTACTATATTATTACTACTATAACTATTATTAAAATTACTATCGTTATTATTGCCATTATTTGTTATTCTTATAATTCTTATTGTTGGCTCGACAGATGCGATGTTTTCGTGTAGAATGCCCACAGATGCTGCAGTGAGGGAGGGACGGACAGCGAGGGCGAGAGACAGACGACGGGCTTGGGAGTCCAAGAAATCGGTTTGGTTCAGGGTTTAGGATTTAGGGGTTTGTATTAAAAAAGGTCATACTAGTACTAAATAGTAACCATAGCAAGTATAGTAATGACAGCAATAATGGTAATATCAGCAATGCTAGTATTACTGTTACCCGTAATACTGGTAATACTAGGTAGTAATACTAGTAATATTAGTATAATGCTAGTAATAGTAGCAATATTTCTTTATTATGAATACCAGAAATACTGAAATACTAGTAATGCTAGAAGGAGAAATAGAAATGAGAGCAATAGTCATAATAGTCACTCGTCGGAAGACCACAGGCAGACTGGGTAGTCGAAACTTTGAAAGATGCTTTGTATCCTTTTCCCACAGTTCCCCTGATGACGGCGGAGTGAAGGCTCTTCTTGAACTGGGGCCTTTATTTTTGCTCGCCCGTGTGCAGTTGTGCCCACGTTGGCGCCTCTTGACCTAGCTGTCATGTCCTACCTACCCATCTCGAACGAGACAGGGCATGAGGCTTTTTCCGGCCAGGCCCCAACCAGTAGCGTTGGGCTGAGCCTTCCTGATGTTCGGTTGGGGTATCAGTCCCCTAACCGGACGCTGAGAGTTGTTGTATGCCCGTGGTGAAGCCGTTCCGCAGATGCTCGATAATGAAGCCATTCGCAAAGTATATCAGGCAGCAGTAAACCGAAGAGAACCCTGCTGGATGCCACAATGGTGTTACCGACAATTCTCCAGAAGACAGTTCGAAATGGCAGCAAGCCAACAGCCCTCAGGCTTACCACGTAAATTCACAGCAATACCTCAGTTGCCACTGCGTTTGCGTGTCACGTGTGCCACCTTGATTTTCGCTTTGTGAGTGATTGAGAGTCATAATAGTCATCATACTCCTTGTAGTCATCATAGGAATAGTGAGCAAGAAATGGCAGTTTCCCAACAAAGGGGGACCCTTCTATCGACCCCAAAATATTATAATCCTTATTATGAGGACCTCAAAATGGGACCCCTAATGTTAGGAAACTAAACCCTAAATCCTGAATGGTAGCTTCTTTTTTCTTTCCATTATCCCTGTACACCCCCTAGAAGTCATTACATACACCTATATAATCCAATGTCTATATAAGCCTATCTCTGCATAACCCTATACAACCTCTATATGCAGGTGATAGACCAGGGCAGCCTCGCTACATGCCGAGAGCCAAGCGCTGGCTGCGGCTCTGCTGCAAGAGCGGCAAGCCGACCTGCGGTGGACACTACAATGCTATTTAGTATCTTGGGGTAAAACAGGGATACCGGAAAAGAAAATTGGAACCACCATTTGGGGTGTATGGTGTAGCTACTACAAGAAGGAATCAAATGGAGAATCACCTGGAAAAGAATGGAAAATGGCATGGAAACTGGGATTATGACCCAACATAGCTTTAGCTGCTTGTTCCGGCTTTGCGGCTGCTGACAGGCATCGGTCGAATCCGAAAGGCGGAGGCCGCAAGAGATTGCAGTTTCCATAAATAGGGGACCCCAACGTAGCCTCGCAAATGCTATAATCCTTATTTTGAAAGGGTATCCCTATTTCTTGGAGACCCCCAGATATAGTCCCCCTCAAGTAGAACAGATGTGAGGTAAATGGGAATCTTATTATAATATACCCAAGTCCATATCCTATCTACTTTAGCGGGACCCTAAACTCTAAACCCTATATTCCATCCTTTTTAGGGAGATTATAATCTACTAGTACCCTTGGTTGCAGCTTCCCTGGCCGGTAGGCCGCCGCGCTTCCTCCTGCAGAAGAGGCATGGAGTGTGTTTTGGGGACTTATAACACGAATATTAGGGATTTAGGGTTTAGGGATGTAGGGTTTAGGGATTTAGGGTTGCAGTCCTGTACCTGGCATCAACGAGACCAGATGCAAAAGGGTTTGGGGTTTAGGGATTTAGGGTTTAGGGCTTAGGGAGGGTTTAGGATGTGGTTTGAAGGAGATTACCCCAATAGTGGAGAATCAAACGGAAAGGAACATGGACAATGAACATGGATACTGGGATTATGCAGTGGTTTTGGGCTTAAATGAGCTACTGTCAACATTATGCTTACACGTGGACCATTCAATATTAAGGGTGGACATATGGGTCCCTTTGGTAGTTTCGCATAGTCCTCGATTTATTCATTCCCTAATAGGAACCCATGTCCATTCATTAGATGGGACATCTTAACGTAGCTTATAGGGTTGTTTCCAGAACTAGGGGGCCCCAACATAAAGATTATGATCCCCATTATAAGGATCCCCTAAAAAGGTACCCCTAATTTTGGGAAACCCGCATATATGCGTTCAGCTGATTTTTTTGTGCAGTGGGAAGCCCTAAGCCCCCTAACCCTTACGCACTGAAGCACAGGCGCCATGGATACCTCTCCCTCTGGCTGACGTTCAATCCCATGACAGATACGACAGCCTGGCTGCCACGGATTGGAATTCATTACTCAGGTAGACCCCCCGCCCTGTAATAGCGGTATAGTCTCTTTGTTGAGATGGCCCGCATATAATCACCATTATATCCATCATTCTTTGTGGCCTCTATTGCTGGGTGAGGGGTCCACAATTCTACCCTAAACCCTAGACCCTAGGAAGAGCAGACCGGCTTCATGCCAGGCCACCCTGACCAAGAACCTGTGACGGCCGAAGACGTGGAGGCCTTCATTTCAGACAACCAGCTGAATCTGGGTTGCTGTTAGGGTTTAGGGTTTAGGGATTTTCTTTTAGGTTACCATATTGGGGCAGCATGGGGCAGCCACATTACTCGAAGTATTGGGTTGCTGTTTAGGATTTCAAATTTAAGTTACCGTATTGGGGAAACCATATTGATTGTCATTTGATATGTAAGTTTCTATTCGGGAAATCCTATTAATTACTATATATGTATGCCCATTATGGTAACTTCATTTACGTGACTATATGGGGGAAACCATGTCAATTACCACATATACCCATTGTGGTAACTGGTAGCTTAACTTGGGCCACTGTAACAGGTAGGGAACCATTCTTCTTCACCAATATGCCTTAGGTGGACACCCTGCCCAGCAATAGTGACTATAGGGGATAATGGTGAGTATCTTAGGGTCCTCTTGTATTCCTATTATACCACTATTACAGGGTTGGGGGGGGGTCCTCCTAAGTTATACTATACCCTAAACCCTAAAACCTAAACCCTAAACCCTATTACGGTAACTCAATTTAAGTTCCAAAGCAGCAACCCAGGAATGATCGAGCTGCAGACGCGCTCCGAGCCTTGACAGAAGGTGTGATTAAATCTATATATTGGGGTTATATGGGGTTTAGGGGTTTAAGGGGTTTAGGGGTTTAGGGGTTTAGAGGTTTAAGGGGTTTAGGGTTTAGGGATATATAGGGATAATGGAAAAGAAAATGGAAGCTATAGTATAATTGGGTAAATATTGGGGTTGATTGCTTCTACTTGCTTGGGGTTAGTAGGGAATAAAGGGCATATGTATATATATATATATGAATGTATATGTTATAGGGATTACATCAGGATATTGCTTCTACTTACTGGGGGTTATATGGGGAATAAGGGTATATATTATATGGGGAGCATTTAAGGATTATATTCCCTTATTCTCTAGGAAGCAATAGGAAGTCTAGCGCGCAGAAGCTGAGGCGAGGTTTCTGCAGATGTACAGACAATCGCAGCTCGGCCGGCAGAGGGCTGGGCTTGGCATTTGCCCCGACAACGAGTTTCAAGCACACCATATTATTCCGGTAATTAGTATTCTGGTTGATATTATAAAGTTCTGTCATTTCCATTCGGATAATTTCTATTATTACTCTTAATATGCTTTCAAACAAGCAGGTTTCTGTTATATCGGCGTCTACAGTGCAGCCTCCTCTTTATGGAAGCCCACAAATCTCCAGGGCTTGAGCATCCAAGGTCCTTTCGCAGGGAAGTCTGGCCACCTGCCGAGAGCCCAGCGCAGGCGTGTTATTACATTGGTGCCCAGGGATGGGAAGTATTGGAAAGTAGTGCAGGGGCGTCTTTTCATGGAGCAGAATTTTACAGTTGCTTCTCACTTGACCGTCGGCCTTGAACCGGGACGCGTCCCATGCATGCAAGAAGTACTATCTTGGGGAAACCATATTTGTGGTGATATATACCCACCATGATAACTTAATTTAACTTCCTTAACAGTTAAAAGAACTATAGTCCCCCTTAGGTAGATAGAATATGGCTTTGGGTAAAAAAATAATAAGATCCCCATATATCCCATATTCTATCTACTTAAGGGGGACTATAACAGCAATCCAGAAGAAGTATGCTTTTTGAGCGGCTCATGGTGGCAGGCTGCATTGGCCGAATCGCAAAGGCACGAGCAAAGCCTCTGTGACTGCAATGCTGTGCTTTGTGAAGATGGGGCCAGCAAAGAGGCCATATAAGTCCCTGTGCCATTTTCCGGAGGAGGGCTCTAAGGGGGTGGGACATGTGTGCTAGAAGGACTTCAGGACCTGCAGACATCTGATTTTTGTTTCTCTCTATTCCCTCTCTCTCTCTCTCTGTTTCTTTTTGCGGCCTTGCGGCTTTGCGTTCCGGATGGTGTGTGTGTGTGCACAAGTACTTAGGACTCGTCATCAGAACGTCGCGGCAACGCCAGCGACGCAGTGGCTTCCCAACGAAGCTGATGTGGAGCAGCCCCTCGGAGCAACGACTCTTGGGGGCCTTGTCTGGCAATGGCAGATGGGATCTTGTGCTGTCAGCAGGTTCATTGAGGAGAATGAGCTGAATGAGCGGGCCGCTGATGCACTGCGCAGCATCCCGACAGTCACCCAGAAGCAGGCAGGCAGCAGCACCCAGTGCCCAAATCCGCGCATCTTGCACCAACTTCGACTGAAAATACATGGTTTGAGACAATAGAAAAGGATCCCATCTAGTACCAGTTGGACTGCAAGGTGAACCGCTGCATGTGCAACCTACCTGGCCTCCTGAACCAAATCTGGAGCTTCTCCGCCCTTCCTGGCGGAACCCATGCGGCGTGCACAAATGCACAAGAGGCCTTTCATAATCAGGCTGCTCTAAACGCTGCAGCTAGGGCGTCTGTACCGTAAACGTCTCGAAGTCTTCCTTCAGGCTCCTCCAAGTGCACGTCATGTGTATACACGGAGAGAATGTTGGTTCCTGGATCGGGGAAAATAATGGTATGCCGGATGACAGGGGGCTTGCAGAGGGAATATCCGGAACTGTTCTACTTTTGATGAAAATTTAAGTACGAAACGCAGTCCGCTTGAAACCAGGTTTTCAAATTATCAAGTATCACACCTGAAACGCAACATTTCTACACTACTGTCCTGCAACATGCTTACCCACGTGGAGGGTCAGGGAACCTCAGTAAGTAGGTTGATCTGGGTTCTTGTTGAACAACAATTTGTCATTGTTATGTATACCTGGGCCCAATATAGATTTACAATGATAGTTAATGGTATTACAACAAGCCCAGTAATGAGGGAGATGCAATGAGGGAGATGCCTGTTTTTTTTCAACGGCTTCCAGGCTTACAAATGCACTTACTAAGTCCCCCTGACTCTCCAAGTAGGGATTGTGGTGCTGGGCGTTTTCCCAAGCCCAAAACAGTCAACAGTAGTTTCCTGGTTCTTGTCCTCCAATTTCTTCGATTCTCCATGATTGGTCTAACTCGGGCTTCCCCCTGCTTACAACCCCTCTAAGCCCCTCTATCATCCCAGTTTCCATTTCATTGTCCATTTTCTCTTCCATTGCAGTCTCCACGACGCTGCTAATGTCCCAAAACCTTAAACCCAAAATAGTATGACTCAAGGCCGACCGGACAATGGGACCCCCGAGCATATGCTAGACACGAAAAGAGTCGACGGGGTTGTAGAAAATAGTAATTCTCATTTTCTGGTCCATTGCCCACGTTAACCCTGTATAACCATACATGCCCCTATACTCCCAGGTCTTTCCACAGCCTCAGACCGGGAAAGGCAGAAGTAAGAGGTCCTGGATCTAATAGGGGTTTCTTATACAATCCCAATACATACTCTATTATAATATAGTAGTTTCCATTTTCTTCTCCATTATCCCCTATCCCTATACTATAATCCCAATATAACGCCTATACAACCCTGTATAACCCCTACATAACCCCAATATAACCCTATAATATAACCCCAATATGACCTTATAATATAACCCCAACGTAGCCCCTGTATACCTTATAGTATAACCCAAATGTAACCCCTATATAACCTTATACCCAACGTAGCCCCTGTATAACCTTATAATGTAACCCCAATGTAACCCCAATAGAGTTAGCAGATACCATTTCCATTTTCTAACCATGCCCCACCCCCTAGCACCCAAACCATAGCAACCTCTACCTCAACCTTCAACTCACCCAAGCCCCATAGGTAGAACCCTAGGAATAACTCACCCGAAGGCCCAAAACGACAACAACTTATACCTCAACCCTCAAATCACCGAAAGACCCATAGGAAAGACTCACCTGAAGAACCCATGGAACCACACATACCTCCATAGACAAATAGCATACTCAAACCCATTGACCAATACCCCCCCCATAGAAAACCCATAATTCCCAACTTGAAATCCCGAGCCTTATAAAATGGAAATGGTCTTCTTAAATACTTTATCTATAATCGGAAGATGGTTTAGGATTCAGGTCGTATCGACAAAGAACGACACTGATAGCATAGCATTATCTACTTGTCCAGATTCTCGTCTTTCAGCTTCAACCGCGCCCTCCCTGGAGCTTTCATTCCTACACCCATTTCTCCATGGCCATGAAAGCTGGCGCGGTGCTTGCCATTTTCTTGACACAAAGGGCTGCATTCCAGTCGTTTCCTGCAATCCGAGCCGGCTTCTCGCGCCTTCCCGCACGAGGTCAGTCACGAATTCGGACTTCCGCGTTCTCACCATCTTCCAGATTTCTTCAAGTTTCCTGCGATTTCTGCAGTATCCATATTTGTGCAGTGCGGACAGATGGCCAGCTCGTCTGCTTTGGCACAAATTCTAATGGGCGGTGTGACGTGCCAGCAGATTTGGGACCAGTTGTGGCAGTCTCAGCGGGCGGTGGTTATACTTGTGCAGTGCGGACAGATGGCCAGCTCGTCTGCTTTGGAGCAAATTCTAATGGGCAGTGTGACGTGGCAGCAGATTTGGGACCAGTTGTGGCAGTCTCGGCGGGCGGTGAACATACTTGTGCAGTGCGGACAGATGGCCAGCTCGTCTGCTTTGGAGCAAACTACCATGGGTGGTGTGACGTGCCAGCAGATTTGGGACCAGTTGTGGCAGTCTCAGCGGGAGATGAGCATACTTGTACAGTGCGGACAGATGGCCAGCTCGTCTGCTTTGGAGCAAATTACCATGGTCAGTGTGACGTGCCAGCAGATTTGGGACCAGTTGTGGCAGTCTCAGCGGGCGGTGGTTATACTTGTGCAGTGGCGGCAGATGGCCAGCTCGTCTTCCCAAGTAGAAACCGCTGGTGATGCAGAAAACGCCGGAGAGTGCTTGCCCTCAAACCTTTAACAACTCAAACCGCAAATTTCGACTCTATAATAATTTTGACCTAATTTGTTTTCAATATTCTCTATGGTATAGAGGTTCTGTGACCAGTTGCTCACTCTTTCTTTTTCATTTGGTTTTCGCTTCCTAAATATCTT